GCTGTTTTCAACATCATAATAATAATAAATGTTTTTTGAGCAGCAAATCAGAATATCAGAATGATTTCTGAAGGATCGTGTGACTGGAGTAATGATGCTAAAAATGTAGCTTTGAAATCACAATAAATTATATTTTAAAATATATTCAAATAGAAAACAGTTATTTTAAATAGCCTAGTAAAAATATTTAAAAATTTTACTGTTTTGCTGTACTTTGGATCAACTAAATGAAGGCTTGGTGAACAGAAGAGACTTCTTTAAAAAACATTAAAAATATTACTGTTCAAAAACTTTTGACTGGTAGTGTATAGGCAACTTACATTTTTCTCTAATTTCTAGCCTTTAATTGGCTTAGAAATCAGATAACTGCTGGACAATAACAAATAATAATGATTTGTTTATATACTACAAACACTTTTTTATAACATAAGGCAGAATAGTTTCTATACTGTAATAAATGCTACGTCGATTAGCACTGCATTGTTCATATACATTATTTATTACCTGGAGATGACTTGACAAACACAAATAAACCATATATTGTCGCAATCGTATGTTTAATGTCTTCATGCTTCCAAACATTTCTGTTTTTCTGTGAAAACAGCTGTTTTCATACAGCCATAGCTGGACGCTTTTGTCCATATTAGGAATTTCCACGTACGACTTTCTGCGCGAGAGCGCCCTCAGGCTTCGAGTATGGACTGAAATGGCCATCTTACCTTTGAAAATCCTCCTCACTGGGATTTCTGACAGCTGAGGAGTGAGAGCCTTCAGTGGAGGGCGTGTGTTTTGCAGCACTGATCTTGTTCTCATTACTTAACACTTCAACAAGTTTTGTACTGCCTGCAAAATCAATACCACAGTAAACAAGGTTTCTGTGTCAATATCTGATGACTTCCATACAGATCATATAATCAGGGGCTCACCATCGGCTTTCATAAGGTCAATCTCCGGGGCCTCACTAGTGTTGCAGCAAGTTGTGAAAGTCTGAGGAATTTGAGCACAGACATCTTCCTTTAATTGTCCACCACAAACTTCAGTTGTATTAGTTACATGTTGATCCTTCATAGCAGAGTGAGGCAGTACATGGAATCTCAGAGGACTGAAAAGCAAGTAATATGAAAGACTTTAAAATTATTTTAAAGCTGTTTCTGTCGTTGTTATTAACAGTTTTATTGTACTAAATTATTATTATTATTGGTCATCATTATTATTTTATTGTAGTAAAATAAATGTTTTTTTTTAAATAAACACTACTATTGAGGTAAAATGTGTTAATTTTGTTATTACTGTTATTTTAATTACATTTAATAAAATTCGGAGTTATTTTAATAAATAATACAAATTCACAACAACAATAAATAATAATAATAAGAATAAATAACAGCAATAATAATGTTATTAATATAACAACAATTATTATTAATATTACAAACATTATATTTTATTACAATAGTATTTATAAAAACTGTTTTTACTCAAATAAAAAGTGTTAATAACTACAAAAAATATATATATTTTACTTTTGTTTTTAATTATTTCAGATAAAAAACACATTCTTTCTTACTTGCAATATGACTCATCATCAGCATATTTGACCATCAAGGAATGAAGACCTTCTATGGTTGGAGAATATTTAACAGAGTAAGTCCCATCTGCGTTTTCTTTAACCTCTGTCAGTTCAGTCTTTCCTGTGGATATGAAGCTTTGACAATTACACAAGATACAGCAATACAAATCTGATTCGTCTTTCAAGAGAAGCCGATTCTCACCGTTGGGGGTGATCATCAGCGCACACTCAGGGGGCTTCCCAGATTTACTGCAGTTGATTTTGAACGACTGAGGAATTGGAGCACAAATCTTTGGTTCTGTATGTTCATCTGTCAAGTCTTCCGGGAACTCAGAGAGGCTGAGACACAAATAAAACACCAAATGTTTCTAGTAGATCTCTAGAAATGACTAAATGTCTTACAGGTAATTGTACATAAATCAGACTCATTAAATTACCATTTTACCTTCTTAAAGTCTCTTCACTGCTGTACTTATCCATTACGGAATTACAGCCCTCCATATTTGGTGCACAAGTTCTGTCCTCGTTGTCCATCACACCTGCAAGTCTGATTGAACCTACATGCAAAAACCCCATGTAATTGATTACCCTATGAAACATACTGCCATGCAAATGGCAGCAATATTTCAAACTCACGGTTCGGAGCGTTAGCTTTCACCGTGGTGACAGTCTCTTGTGCCACACTGCAGCCATTAGCAAATATCTGAGGAGCCTTAGCGTGGACACTTCCCTCCTGACTCGAAAGTTCCTCACTGCTACCAGAGTGAGAAGGTATTGCATGAAACCTAAAAAGACTGAAAGATAGCGTGAAATAAGAACCTGTGGATATGGAATGCACGTATTGGGTGGCTACACACTAAAATTACCTTCTAAAGGAATCATCACTGGTATATTTGACCATAATTGAGTGAGATCCTTCAGCAGAAGAGGAGTACGACACCAAGTACGTTCCATCTCCATTGTCTTTTGCATTTAATAGCTTAATTTTTCCTGCAAAGGGAAATAATGAGTCAAATTCTGTTGTAAACACCACATAATACATCCTCTCCATTACGTTCTCACCATCAGGTGTAACAACAGCTACAGTCTCTGGCGGCTCTCCAGTGCTACTGCCATTGATTGTGAAGGTCTGAGGAGTGTTTACACACACTTGCGCCTCTAAGCCCAATCCAAAAACTGGAGTACCATTCCTTGAGCCTTTACCTCCACAGTGTTTATCATCAGAATTAGGCACAGGCAACACGTGAAAATGGAAAGGACTGTAAATGAACAGTAACATGCATCAAATTACACAACCTATGCATTTAATCCATATTTTGTGCCCATGAATGCAATGCTCATACCTGCAAAAGGAATCATCTTCAGCATATTTGATCATCAAAGAATGAAGCCCTTCCATTGAAGGAGTGTAGTTCACAGTGTATGTCAAATCGCCATTGTCTTCAACCTCTATTGTCTCAGTCAAGCCTATTTAATGATGAACAAAAGGTGCAACTTAACACTTGTTACTGAAATATTGAATTAGTAGTTGTGATCTAATATAATATATGGTGTAATACCATCTGGTGTCATTATGGCAACAAACTGTGGAACTTTTCTTGTGCAGGTGCAGTCAACAGTAAATGTTTGAGGACGCCAGGCACACATCCCTGATGTCAGACCTGGACCTGATACATCAACCTGAGCAGTGTCATCTATTGGCAACACTTTAAACTTGAATTGTCTGTAAAAAAAATAAAAAAATAAAATAAAAATTATATATAT